TGTTTGTTTTTAATGTTCCTGGTCATTCTTTTACACATTTTTTTATTTTTTTATTTTATGTGTACGAGTGTATTGCCTGCATGGATGTGAGTGCACCTGTGTCATGTAATGCCGTGAAGGTCAGAAGAAGAGTTCAGATTCCCCTGGAACTGGAGTTAAGAATGATTCATATTTGCCATGTGTGTGCTGAGAATTGAACCCGGGTCCTCTTAAACATTACAAGGAATGGCAGTCACTTAGGATTTGGCAGTTAGATACGAAGATTTAGGGCACAATCAGACAAGATACAGGACATATAGCTTTTAGCTGGCTCCACCAAGCTGCTGTTTATAAAGAAGCATATTTGAACTTTTACTCAGTGTTACCAGGGCCTATCTGGTAATTTATTGGCCACAATGTTTTATTTCATAGGGGTAAAAGCATAGTAAACTTATAGCTTTTAGCTCATTAGTAAACCTTTAACTTGGCCTATTCTTTCACCTAGTGATAGCTGAGTTATTTGTTCAGGACAGGAGGTGGGCTAAGGGCTGTTGACCAAGATGCTTTCCCTCAGAGCAAGGGGCTTAAACTTTTGGCCTGGCCACATTTCTCCTGCTAGATCTGCAGTGTTCTGCAAGACAGGGACCTCGGGGATTCTATTTTCAGCACCCCTCCCTTCAGCAGAGAGTGTAGCTTGGACGTTAAAAGTTTTAGGCTCATCTCTCACTAGGGCATGCCATCCATGTTTCCTACACTTCCTGATCATTTACCTGTCTTACCCATGCACTTAATCACAAGAATTGAGACTGTTATAGTTATCCCTTGTCTATATCATATTTATGTTGGGTGAGTTTTGTTTTAACATTCTCAGGTATTAAGATTAAAAGGAGCATTGTAGAGGGAACCACAACTGAGGAAACATTTTGTCTTGCCCTCATTTATATAACAAGATCTTGGCTATAAGGTATTGGCTTATAAATGTTGAGTGGCTATAAGATGTTGAGTGGGATGAGATCTGTGGATTCTTGAGAAGTGGGAGTGTTGTGAATGTGGGAGGAATAAATAATTTGTGACAGGATGAGGGATATATTCAATTCAAAATGACAAAAATGATTCGAGAGTCTTCCTATTAAGCAATAGACATAATTTCCTTGTTTTAGTGACTGGCATGCATTTTGTGGTTTGTTTCGCCAATAAAAGGCAACGAAAATGTAAGTCTGAGATTTCTGTAAGCTAGGATGCAAAGCTTATGAAATCATTTAACTTGTACTATAACCTATTAGTGTTTACTGTCAGGGCCCTGCTGTCCTACCGTGGCCCACCCTAAGGTTTTAGAAATACCAGTGATGGATGTTCAGATCTAATAAATGTAAAATACATGAGTTATTGAGAAAAGTTGTGACGTATGTTTATAATTGTAAAAAAAATTAGAGTATAGGCTGATTTTTTTGCCTCCCATTTTATCATAAAATAAATTTGGGGTTTAGCACTTTTAAGTTAAATATTTTCACACTATTTAAATCCATATTCTTAACTCTAATATCCATTTTAAATTTATGGAGACTTGATTAGGAAAAAAGGACAAAAACATTAGCAGGATAATTATAAGAATAATTACTCATATTTAAAATTCAGAAGAGACATGCAGAAGAAACAGTGACAGATTGCTGGCCTAGCACATGAGACCTTCAGTTTGACTCCTAGCATTGCAAAAACTCAGTTGAAATAGAAGTTTAATGCTGCTAATAAGAAAAGAAATTCAAAAGTTGATTACTTTGTGAGTATGAAGTCATCAATGGCTCAAACATAACCCTAGTGATCCAACATTTGTGCTGAGATGAAGCACAGTGGTTAAGAGGATGGTCTTTAGAGCCATGCAGACATGTGGAGGAAATCTTCTCTGACTAAAAATTATGTCATCTTAGCCAAGTCATTATCCTCACTGGACGTTTATTTCCTCATCTGTAAAATTATTTCCAACACTATAAGCTTTTTTATTGCTTGAGACCACATCCTGAACATGATTAGGAAGAAGTGTCTGGTGCTAACAGAAATATGGATGATTTTCTATCATCAGCTATGAGTGAGGTTTCGTGGCTGATACGCTTGAAATAGGCTGCATCACTGAAGACTTTTGGACTTTTTGAGTGGGTGCTTCCTATAATATTTCCCTGTCTGGGGAAATTGGAATTGGCTATGCTATAACTTGCATTCTGAATTTCTTCTTGGATCTAAGTTTAGCCTGAACAAAACACAGGAACCGAATTTCACGTTCATAGGTAGGTGTTCCCAGGAGAGCTGCTAGTCAGGCTAAAGTGCACTACATTTCAGCAAGGGATTCACAATCACACTCCAGAGACATGCACCTAAAAGTTCAACCCTTGGGGAAGAGATGCCCCTAGATCCCATAGGTTTATCAGAGTAGGCTGCACGATAACATGGAGGTTGGATTTAATGAGCACTTTGGGGATAATATACTAGGAGCCTTTATAGCCCCAAGAAATTCTCTTGTCCTTTTTTGACCTGAAGAAGCAGAAATTGACTCATACACCCCAGATATCCCTAATGAACAAGGGACTCTTTAGACCCCGAATTACTGTCACAAAAGTCTCTGCGAGGTCCTTACTGAAAATTTTCCAACTGAAAGAAAGAACTTCAGAATTTGATGATGCTGGAAATTGATCACTACTTTGACAGGTGAGAAACTGGAAAGGATAAGACTCACTTGAAAGCATGCTTGAATGTACACACACACACACACACACACACACACACACACACACACACACATATCTTCCCAAACATATTACATGAAATAATTCCAGAACTACATAATCTGACACTTTACATTTTGAGGCTTCTCTATTAACCACAGGCAAATGGAGAATTTAAATATTCACAAAGCTTTTAAGGTCACAGATTTACAAAAGCAGTATACTCAGCCTCTCACACCAGCTTCCTCTAAATCCAAGGAGAGCAGAATGTAGTAACTGGTTTTCAGACAAGAAAACAGTGGCCTGATACCTTTCACTTTCCTGTTCTCTGGTGAAAATTAAGTATCAGAAGCCAGGTGTGGTGATGGTGCACACCTTTAATCCCAGAACTCTGGAGGTAGAAGCAGGTGGATCTCTGTGAGTTCCAGTCCAACTGGGGCTACATGGAGACTCTGTCTCAAATAGACTAAAAAGAAATCAGGGTTTTAAATATCAATTGCCAGAAAAGATGAAAACATGAACATGTAAAAGGGAAAAGGGATATGGCTAAAGGAATTTGATGGAGGACTAAGACCTCCTTCATTTAATTTATATTTTTAATTATTTTATGTGTATGAATGCTTTTCCTGTATATACATAAGTGCACCCATGCTGTGGAAGCCAGAATAGCATCGAATTTCCTGGACCTGGAGTTACAGATAATTGTTAGCTGTGATGTAGGTGCTGGAAACGGAACCTGTGTCTTCTGCAAGGGCAGCCTGTGCTCTAAACCACGGAGGCATCTTTCTAGCAGCAAATTTCATTTATTTATTTATTTATTTATTTATTTATTTATTTATTTATTTATCTATTTATTTTTGGTCCCTTTTTTTTTGGTCTTTTTGTGGTGCATATGTGTACACACATGTGTGAGTATAGAGGCCAGAGAACCTATTTATTTTGGTCCCTTTTTTTTGGTCTTTTTGAGACAGGGTCTCCCTGTAGCCCCAGCTGTCCTGGAACTCACTATGTAGACCAGGCTGGCCTTGAACTCACAGAGATCCGCCTGCCTCTCTGTCTCGAGTGCGAGGATTAAAGGCGTGCGGCACCACACCCCGCCCAAATTTTATTTATTTTTATGTAAGTTAACCCTGTGCATGCAGTGCCAGCAGAGGCCAGAAATAAATAAAGATCCCCTGGAACTGGAGTCATACACGGTTGTGAGACATCATGTTGTAAAGAACCGTACCCAGGGCTTCAGCATGAGCAGTAAGTTCTCTAAACTTCTAAGTCATCTCTCCAGCCCCCTGCCTTTTTATAAAAACTATTTTATTGAATTTTTGCAGATTTCATGCAATGTATATTTTAATTTATATCTTATTTTAGTATTTGGTGAATTTTTGCAATTTTCATACAATGTAATTTGGTGGTATTTACATCCCCTCTCCTATCCCCAACTCTGCTTATTGCCCCCTACCAATATAATGTGTTGTATTACACATGTATATATACAATATATTATTTATGTATGTATATATATATATGGACTTTAATTTGTGTCTCTAAATATCCCACCAAGTGAGTCCATTCTTCGGTGCCTAAACAAATCCATGATAGCCAATGATACAGAGAAGTTAAAATCTCCCAAATAAAAAGAGCACAAGACCAGAATTCTACCAAACTTTTGAAGACGTAATACCAATACTCTCTAATTATTCTGTGAAATAGAAAATGAAGGAACACGCCCCATGAATTTTGAAGGCATCCTAACATTGTAGGGTGGTGGGATGTCACTGCCTTCAGCCCACATGACAAATGCTACCACGTAGGGTTTGAATGGATAGGATTAAGTTCCGAAGATTAGGAAACACCTTACTTTTCCTTCAAAGTCACTTTCACTGTCCACACATAATGTTATAATATACACATATGCTTGCGTTTATATGTGCAGTTGTACATCTGTGTGCACACAAGTACATTGGGAAACATTGAGAGATATGATGGCGATCAATACCTTCTTTCTAATGCACAAGCTTGAAAATTACTTTTCAAATATCAGCAACAAGGTCATGACACCCTGGCTGACCTCTCTAAGCAAACTGATCTCCTGTCTCTAGATCCTGTTATAGCATAGAAAGCAAAATCTGTATTAGAGTGCATATTGTCTTAATTGTTTTCAAAGTATCAATGAGTAGTTCATTTACAATGAAATCCAGAGATGCTCATGGACAAGGGCCGTGCATTCTCCTTTTTCACCCAGCATAACTCTGGCAATATAACTACATCTATATAGTATAAACCAATCTAATGTTTAAATAAAAGTAGAATATTTTTAACTGCACAGATAACAAGAACTACACAGAATGGGAAAACCAAGCCGACTGAACCAATCTGTTGCTCCAGACTTCCTCCTTCTAGGACTCTCAGAGCAGCCGGAGGAGCAGCATCTTCTATTTGGAATCTTCCTGGGCATGTACCTGGTTGCCATGGTGGGGAACTTGCTCATCGTCCTGGTCATCAGCTCTGATGCACACCTTCATACTCCCATGTACTTCTTTCTGGCTAATCTGTCCTTAACTGATGCTTGTTTCATTTCTGCCTCAGTCCCCAAAATGCTAATCAACATTCATAGCCAGAGTCAGACTGTCTCTTATTCTGGGTGCCTTACACAGCTGTATTTCCTCCTGGTGTTTGGTGGACTTGACAATTGTCTCCTGGCTGTGATGGCATATGATCGTTATGTGGCCATCTGCCATCCACTCCATTACAGCACAGTTATGAATCCCCAACTCTGTGCACAAATGCTATGTATGTGCTTGGTGCTGACTAACTGTCCCGCCCTGATGCACACACTGTTGATGACACGTGTGGCTTTCTGTGCTCAGGTAATCATTCCCCACTTCTACTGTGATCCCAGTGCTCTGCTGAAGCTTGCCTGCTCTGACACCCATATTAATGAGTTGATGATCATCACCATGGGTTTGATATTCCTCACTGTTCCTCTCATGCTAATCGTCTTCTCCTATGTCCGCATTTCCTGGACTGTGTTGGGCATCCCGTCTCCTGGTGGGCGATGGAAGGCCTTTTCTACCTGTGGCTCTCATCTCACAGTGGTTCTGCTGTTCTATGGGTCTCTGATGGGTGTGTATTTACTTCCCCCATCAGTTCGATCTACAGAGAGGGAGAGCAGGGCTGCCATTCTCTATAATGTCTTGATTCCCATGCTAAACCCATTCATCTATAGCTTGAGGAATAAAGACATGAAACAGGTTTTGTTCAAACTTGTTGATGGTAGGAAGACATTCTTCTTACCGTGTCTCTGATGATTAACCCTCGTGATGTGATCAAACCATGTTCTTCATCACTTCATCACATAACAAAAAGATATTTTCCTCCCTATATTGTGAGCTGAGTTGAAATGTTATTCTGCGATGTATTTGTTGATATCAGTAAGACAACTGTTACTAAAAACAGAGCATTATCCCTGATCCTCAGCTTTAACATCACCATGTCATCCATGATGATCTCAGGTGCATGATGTCCAGGCCTGGAGCTAAGGAGTTCTACTCCAGTAAAGCAAGCACTGAAAGAGGTGGAAGGGCAAGGAAATGAACACGGTCCATCTACACTGTCACTCACTGATCAACATATCGTGTCTTGAGGGAAATGTGTGAAAAGTATGACCTAGGATGTAAATAATCTTGTTGCCAAAATGATGTAAATTTTATTCCAATATCTGTTCTCTTTTATTGCATAACACTGTGCTGACCATGACAAGGAAAGTGTACGAATATTTTTAAGGATGATTGTGCTGGACAGCTTCAGTTGTCAACTTGATGCACCTCAACTGAGGAATTCCCTCCATTGAACTGTCCTGTGGCTGTGTCTGTAGGACATTTTCTTTATTGTTGAATGATATGGGAGGGCCCAGCCCACTTAGGTGGTGCCACTCCTAGGCAGGTGGTCCTGGATTGTATAAGAAAGCACACTAGGTAGAGGCGAGAGGATGCGGTCTTCCATTCCAGAAGCAGCACTCTCCCTTGGCCCATGCTTCAGCTCCCGCCTCCAGGTTCCTGCGGATTTCCAGCTCTAATTCCCTCAGGAATGAACTGTGACTTGGGAGATGTAAGATAAAGTAAATGCTTTCCTCCCCAAGTTGGTTTTGGTCAGAGTTTGTATCACAGAAATAGAAAGGAAACTAGGAAAGAAATCGATACCAGAGGATGGGTTTTACCGTGACAGGCCTGGCAATGTTCTTTCAGGTAGGGTTGTGGAAGCTATTGGAGCCGCCAGCGGGAAAAGCTGTTGAGTGCTTGAAGTTTAGTAAGCTGGTCTGTGCAAGATTGGAGAAATGCAGATGAGGGAGGCCTGGTTTGTGAAGTTTCAATGGAAGTAAAGATTATTAGGGCTGATTGTGAGATATTTTAATTTTTGAGAATTTTGGTGTTTTGTTTTTGTAGTTTTTTTTGTATGCTTGCAAATTTTTTATTGAGTTTTCATGCATTTTATATAATACACCATAATTAAATTTAGGCTCCCTCGCCTCTCCCAGCCCCACAGCCCCCCCACACCAGATTTCAGACACTCTGTCATATACGTTAAGTCCTATCTGGTCAAGCATTTATACCCAGATGTCCCACAATGCAGGATCAAAAAAAGAGAGAGAGGAGAAATTGTTTTTTAAAAATATATTTTTGTTGAATTTTTGTGCATTTCCTATAATGGATCTTAATCAAATTTAGGCCCCTCCCCCATCCACGCCCTCAGACCCCCCACTGGATTTCAGGTATTCTGTCATAGGTTAAGTCTCACCTAGTCAAGCATTTGTACACAGATGTTCCTGAGTGTAGGTTCAACAAAAACAAACAGAAAAACCAGAATTTGGTTTTTAAATATATTTTTATGGAGTTTTTATACCTTTCATATCGTAGGTCTTAATCAAGTTTAGACTCCCCTCCCCATTCAGTCCTCCTCATGTCCTCTCCCCACTGGATTTCCATGCATGTTTAAGTCCTGTCCAGTCAAACATTTGTACCCAGATGTCCTTCAGTGCAAGTTCATTCACTGGAGTCAAGTCAGCCTATTTGGGGTTCTCAATGATCTCCTCCTTTTCACCCAGCAGTAATCAATTGCCTGTAGTTCCTAGGTTAGGCGTGGGCCTACTGCCTATTTCCCTCCCTCTATGATCGATGCTGCTGTCACCATTGTTTCAAGTTCATATGAGCAGGTTTCTAGTGCCTGAAAACCTGTTTTCTTATGTTCATGCACCAGTCCTGGCTCTTGGGATCTTTCTGCCCCCTCTTTTCCAGTGGTTCCTGAGCCATGGGTATGAGAGTTTTAATACAGGAGTTCTATCCAGAGACACATAACTTGCAGTCTCTTATTCTCTGAAACTTAGCCAGTTGTGGTCTTCTATGTGCACCGCACCCTGATGTATGTGTAAACTTCACTGGTGAAAGGTGCGAGATTTATTAGTGTTCTCTCTACCCCCTTATCTGCACTGTTCCATGAGCCTTAGGTGTAGATGTTCAATTGCAGATCTATCACATAGTGGTGGACATTTCTCAGATATATATTCTCCGCCTGTGACCATTTATGAAATTCTGTAATAGCCTCCATCTACTGCAAAAGAAGCTTCTTTGGTGTATGATGTATAATATACTTGTCTGTAAATGTAAGTATCTATATTTAACATACAGTAGGAGATTTCTTTTGTCTAGAGCTATGGCAGAGATTTTTTCAAGGATATATGAAATCTCCAGCCATCTTTCTTTGGCTATATTTCAAATGCCACCCATGAACTCCCTCCCATTAAGAGTAAGTCCAATTAGATAGCTGTTGATTACCCCCTACATAGGTGCAATGGAGCCGGAACTGACCTGGAAGCCACCTCCCCTGAAGGCTAGGTCTCATATCTTTAGAGAGTTTCCCTGCTAAGGGAAAACATCAACCAACGGTTCAACCCCAGCTTTAAGACCTAATAACCACAGCAATGACTGTTACAGCAAATGACATTGGTGTAGCAATAGCACTTTTATCTTTGAGGTAATCAACAGCTACCTAATTGGACTTAAAACCCATTCAATGGGAGGAAAGATGTGTGCAGTACTGTAAACATAGCCAAATACACATGGCTAGAGAGGTCATAGATCTTAGAGAAAACCCCAGAGCAGTCACATCCCTAGACATATGTAATTTCTTACTATGTGAAAAATACATATTCTTATATTATAGACAAGTATCCTAGTCAACACTCACCAAAGAAGTTACTTTTGCAACAGAGATTATTACAGAGTTCCACAAATGGTCATACACAGAGGTTGCCTGTGAACTGGCCAAGCTTAAGTGGCACATCTACAATGCAAGCTCTATACCTAAGGATCACAGAACATATAACAAGGGGTAAAGAGAACAATGATGCATCTCTCAAGTCTCATCAATGGAGTTCCCTCGTACAACAAAGGTCCAGGAACACAAAAAGTCACGAATATCCAAAGCACAGAGAATAAGGGTCTGAAGAGTGTGAGATCTTGGACAGGACTCCTATATTAAACTACACCCACCCAGGGCTCAGAGACCATTGCAGAAGAGCAGGCAGAGAGCCAAACTTGGTTCCCTGGAAGTAGAGATAGTGCTCTTAACCATAAAACCATTTCTCCAGTCCCAAGACCAAATATTTTTTAAAGACAAGTATGATTTTTGGGTATTGTACAATGGACATTGCTTTTTGAGGATGAGGCAACTGCATGCATTACCATTTGGCCATTCAACCCTTTCCCCTCTGTCTTTCCCCTGAATAAAAAGAATAGAAATAATTCATGAGCAACTGATGTCCAGTTTAGAAAATCATTCCCTACCCTACCTTATCTTGTAGGGTACTGCCTATGTTTTCCTCTAGAAGTTTCAAACATTCAGGTTTTATATCGAGTGCTTTGATCCACTTGGAGTCGATTTTTGTACAGGGTGAATGATAAGGGTCCAATGTCATTCTTATACAGGTAGAGATCCAGTTTTGCCAGCATCATTTGTTGAAGATGCTGTCTTTCCTCCATTGTGTGCTTTTAGTACCTTTGTCAATTATCAAAGGGCTGCTGGGGCTAGAGAGATGGCTCAGCGGTTAAGAGCAGTGACTACTCTTGCAGAAGACCCAGGTTCAATTCCCAGCACCTACATGGCGGCTATGAACCATCCTTAACTCCAGTTCCAGGGGAATCTGAAGCCCTCTTCTGATCTCCGTGGCATTGCACAACACAGGTACACTCACATGCAGGGAATACACTCATACACATAAAATAAAAAATAATAAATATAATTTAAAAATTGGTTGGCTGATACTGCATGTACTTATGTTTGGGTCTTCTGTTGTGTTAAACTCAAATATATGTCTTTTTATGCCAGTATCATGCTGTTTGTATGACTTTACCTCTATAATATAGTTTGAGATCTGTTACGGTGAGCCCTCTGGCATTGCTTTTTGTACTCAAGATTGCTTTGGCTATCCAGGGTCTTTTGTGATTCCATATGAGTTTTAGGATTTTTTTCTATCTCTGTAAAGAATGTCATGGGGATTTTTATTGGTATTGCATGAATATATAGATTACTTTTGATAATGTGGCCATTTACACAGTATTAATTCTACAAATCCATGTGCAAGGTGGGTCTTTCAATCTCCTGATGTGTTATTCTATCTTTCTTTAAAGATTTAAAATTTTCATTGTAATGATCTTATATGTCTTTGGTTAGGTTTAGTCCAGAGATCTGGAAAAGGGGAGGAGTTCAGGAGTAGGCCTGGGCCCAAGGCTAGAAGGGGGACAATGTTTGGAGAGAAAGTGGAGCTGCTCAGGCTTCAGGGGAATCAGGAGTGAGTGGGTGGGTTTTGACTTAACAGGATAGTAGCAGGTCTACAACAGGCAAGTCAGAAAGCCAGTGGCACAATGGTTTGGGGGACAGCCTGTGGAGGGTCTAACAAACTAAGTTGGGGATTTGAGCTACTCTGAATGCAGGAAGTCAGGATGCAGTGAGTGGGTCTGGACTAAGAGGGTGAGAATCCAGCTACTCAGTCTGCAGGGGAATAAAGATGCAGTGCATGCTGAACATTTTTAAGTAGCTCTCACGTATTTGCAGTGCATGCTGAACATTTTTAAGTAGCTCTCACGTATTTGTCTCATTTTCAGGGAACTCTCTGCTCATTTCCTTGCCCCAGCTTTTAACTAGGTTGTTTGTTTGGGATGTTTGCTTCTTCGAGTTCTTTGTGTACTCTAGATGCTAACTCTTTGTCACGGTTATATCTGGTAAATATTTTCCCATTCTGTAGGTTGTCTCT